GGGCACGATCAGCTTTCTTCACCACCTTTGCTTATGCACACGTTTGTCTTCAGTGATCGTATCAGGAAGGTGGGCACCCACTGATCTGATTTTTAGTTCTTTGATGTCTGATAACTGGTCCCTTCAGGCAGCTGGTTTCTTGTGTGCTGACCCTGTTCCCGATCGGGAGTGCATCCATGAACCAAACAGACGCTCCTCGAAGCTCTGGCCTGGGGTGCTCCCCTGCTAATGTGAAAAAGGCATCAACTAATTATACTGTCAGTCACCTCAGGTATTTGGCGGTGGTGTTGGAAGGTGTGTGTGTGTGTGTGTAGCACAAACAACCCCTGACTTCACTGGTACCATGGCCCCAGGCTGTCTGTCCATACTGGAGTGACTTGCTCATCCTGTGGCCTGAGGAATGGGGAGCACTGTGATTGGCCAGACCTGGGTCGAGAAATTACCTATAACGATTGCTATGTGCTTGTCGAGGGAGGCCTAGGCTGGGCCCTGCGCTAGAGGGGGCTGGAATTTTGAAACCATGATCAGGGGAAGATCTCTTTAGGAAGGTGACCTTTAAGCAAAGACTTGAAGGAGGTGAGGGAATTGTCCAAGGGGAAGTCTGAGGAAGGAGGCTTCCAGGCAGAGGGAGCAGCCAGGACAATGGCCCTGAGGGAAGAGATAAGGGGGCAATGGGGGATCATGGGGGCCTGGTTGGTCACTGTGAGGATGCTGGTTTCTACACTGAGGTGGAAAACCAAACCATAACAATAGCAACAACTTTTTAAGCAAAATCTCAGCTTTCTGCATTCGTGTACCAGTCTCCTATGTGGAGTGTGTGTGTCTGAAAATGTAGCAAAGTTGGGTACTTAGGTGTGGACAGAGCATCCCCCCTCCCCACCAAGTTCACAAATGTCCTGGCATCTTCTTTCCACCACCCGACTTCTCAGGCAGGGGTGTGGCTCATTCCACCTCCTCAGTTGCTGTAATGACACTTCCAGCCCTGGGAACCCAAGGCTTCACACAAAGCCCCAATTAGGCTAGAGGGACCCCTGCCCGCCCTTCCTAACCACCAGCTAACCGTAGCTAATGGCACCCCGTTGGACTGAGAGAGCTAGGGGCTGGGGTCCAGAGAGAAACAGACTGAGCATGGTGAGCCGGCCAGGGCTGTCCCAGTACGGTAAATGGCATACAGTCTGGAGACTGGAAGGGACAGATCTCAGTTTTCTGTCCCCATCCCTGGTCTGTCCTCCCCCCCATCCCCACCCCCTTCTTTCTTACACACAATCTCACACATCGCCGGCTGCCTGACACAATGGCCGGGTGGGGCTGAGGAACTAGCTTCCTCTGCGGAGATCCCAATCGGTTCCCGTCCCAGAAACAAACACCCGGAGTCTTCGACATGCGGCCCACTGCACTCCCAGCTCCAAGGCGCTGCCAGGACAGGGCGAAAATAGAAGTGGCTTCAGAAAATGATAAAGGTAAATTCTTGGGAAGCTAATGCTGAGAGAGAGAGAGACACCGAGACAGAGTGACAGACCGAGAGAGAGACAGAGATGGAGGGAAAGAGAGAGTGATAAGTCGTGGCTGGCTCACACCCAGGGCCACAGGTTGGGAATTAAAGAGACAGGCTGTTGTGGGAACCATGGGAGAGATGGCCTTAGGAACAACACCGTACCTTAGCTGCGACAGGTGCTTTTAAACAGCCTGTCCCCCCAGCACCCCATCCCTGCAAGTCTAGCCCACTGTTCACGCGAACAGAACAATGGGGGCAGAACAGGTCCCACCAAACAGCCCCCACCCCCTTCACCCCAGTCTGAGTTCCTCCCTCTCCCCAGACTCCATTAACCCTCACGTCTCCCAGCCCGAGCCGAGCCCAGCGTGCGCATGTGGCGTGCCCCGTGGTTGTGTGTGGGGGGGTGTCCGGTTGGGAGTAGGATGCGAGTCCTGTTTCCTGCCTCTACTCACTCAGGCCCGGGAGGTGACTGAGAGCGGAGTGGAGGGAACTCCAGGGTGAGTGCTTGGGGCTGGAATACCTGGGCCGGAGTGGGAGGTGGGGGAGGGAGCAAAGGCCAGCACCTGAGGGGGGAGGAGCTGGCCAGCTGGAGAGGTGCTGCTGGAGCCACCTTGATCAGGCACTTCCTGGCAGACAGAAAGACAGAAAGCTGGGAGACTCACAGCCCCCAGCCCCTGGAATTCTTATACAACCTCATCTTGGGCCTGGACGCCGTCCGACTGTCCAGCTGCCTCCTGAAAGGACTCTGGGATACCCTGCTCTTACCCCTTGACCCTGCACTCTCATCCCCTGCGGGAGAAAGCAACACCCAGGCCCCGTGGTCCTGGCCGCCCTGGCCTTTGACTTCAGTCTGGCCTCCTGACCGCTCCCCAGGCATCTTGGCAGGACCCAGGCCTCTAGTGGGACCTTTCTCGGTGCCCGGATGGTCGGGAGAAGAGACCATGCCCAGGGCCGCCCCGGGTCAGAGTCTCCAGGAATCTTTAGGGCAGGAAAAGGAGACTAAAAATAATCCGGAAAGGGAGAGTCCGGAGAGAGGAACTGGGAAATGGGGGGCGGAGGGCCGGTTGGAGCAGGGAAACAGTGATGCATCCTTCACAGCTCAGGCCCAGGTCTGTACACACACACACACACACACCCCTCTCCACACTACATTCCTACCCACTGTGCGCACAACACACGCACTCTCTCATCACATCACACAGGTCCTCAGCACTGCAAGCCCATCCACCACACACACACCAATCACCACGAAGGGTCCCCATTTAAGCACCCCGAGCAAGCAGGCAGAGGCCTCCCTCACTGACCCAGCGCATTTTCACACGCACCCCCTCGCAATCCAAGGTCCCCGACTGGGTCAACCGAAGCCAAAAGGAGACCTTGGGGGCTAGCCCAGAAGTGTCCAGGAGCCTCAGGTGGTAGAATGAGAAGGAGGGGCAGGAGGTGGAGAAAAGAGAAACTGAAAAAGCAGGACTCACTGCCATAGATCAAGTCCATGCCAACTCACAGCCCCCCTATAGGGCAAGGTGGGACCACCCCTGTGAGGTTCCGAGGCTGCAGAAACCCGGTCTTTCTCCCCGGAGCAGCTGGGGGTGTGGAACTGCAGTGCACTGTGTCAGCCTGAGGCCACCAGGGCGGAGAAGGAAGTGGGACAGAGCCGGAAGGAGAGGAAGCACCAGCCTTCCCTCCAGGCACTGGGATCCTGGCTCCTTCCCTGGCACACCGCGTCTCTCTCCCTTGAGGACTTGAGTGGAATCTACTGGGCGCCAGTGGGTGGGTGTGGGGGAGTTGGAGTGCTCCTAGGCGACAGGCCTAGCCACCTGGTGGCCCTGGAAGACCCTCTCCCTCCCTCCTCCTCAGGGGATGACTTCTGCACAGTGCCTCATTCTCCTGAAGAGTTCTGAGAAAGATGTCAGCCCAGCCCCTGCCCACAGCAACACCCCCCACCCAGAAGCCCCCTCGGATCATCCGCCCTCGCCCTCCTTCTCGCTCCCGGGGGGCCGCCCAGACCTCAGGGCTCCCCCACAATGGCTCCTCCCCACAAGAGCTGCGCCCCACCTCCATCGATGCACTGAACCAGATGTGCACTCCCATCTTCTGGGAGCCCCCAGCGGCATCCCTCAAGCCCCCTGCCCTTCTGCCTCCTCCAGCTTCTAAAGCCAGCCTTGACCCCCCAGCTTCCCCAGAGTCATCTTCCAGCACCCCCAGCCCAGTGTCCCGACGCTCTGTCTCCCCAGAAACTGTTCCCCGGCCTCTGTCTCCGATCCCCCCTCCAAAGCCCTCCGGGTCACCTCGCACCCCTCTGCCCCTGCCCTCTGGGACCCCGCCCCAAGATGGCTCTGCCTCTGCCCCTGGCACTGTGCGGAGGCTGGCGGGCAAGTTTGAGTGGGCGCCTGGTGGTAGGGGCCCGCCGGCCGATGCCCTAGAGCTGGAATCTCAAAGTGGAGTGGATGTGAATGAGGAGAGAGAGGCTCCCCAGAGCTTCCTCAGCGGACGTGGGCCTCAGGAGAACGGACCTTCGGGTAAGTGCATGGGTGGGGAGGGGTTGGGGTGGCCCCAGCCCAGCTCATCTCTTTTTTCCATGCGTTCAGAGGGGATGCTCTCAGAGGACTTGGCACGTCTCCTTGGAGACTCCCTGAGTATTGGGAGGGCATCAGAGTCAGAGAGATACATGGTTGGGGCGAAAACCCTGGTGGTCCCACGGCTGGTGGAGAAGGTTAGGGAGGAGGCTTGGGCAGGGCCAGGCCCCTGAGGACTTTCACCTTGGACTTCTCTGTGTTCCACAGATGTCTCCCTGGTCTGCCCTCCCTGTTGCCCCTGTGCGTGCCACGCAGCCCGGCCTGGCCTGGAGCTCCGATGGGTGCCTGTGCGGGCCTGTGAGGAAGGCCCCAGGGCCCCCTGTCGGGCCTCCCCACTGCGGACCTCTCGTTCTCGCTCCAGCGCCCCAAACAACAGCCACCCCCCAGTCGTCCTCACATCCTACCGCTCCACAGCGGAGCGGAAACTCCTGCCGCCCCTCAAGCCCCCTAAACCAGCTCATGCCATCGTCCCTGGGGACCTCCCACAGTCAGACTTTGATCTGCCCTCTGAAGATGGGATTCAAACAGGTACAGGCCCTGGGAGTGGACCTCTGGGATTTGAAGGGCAGGCGTGGATGGAGGTGGGGCTTTCTGAACATCGTTGTAGGTAGACAGCTCTCAAAGGGGCTGTCTAGGCATTGTGGTTTTGATAGGAGCTGTCTCTGCAGCCCTGGCTGGAGTTAGGAGTCCTGGGTTGGGAATTCTGGAGGTCTGTTCTCCTCACTCCGAGTTCTTTGTCTAGGGGACAGTCCTGAGGAAGCACCTTGCAACACTTCTTCAGTAATCATGGAGGCCAGGTACCAAGTACCTCCCACCCCTGCTCCCAGCCTCCTCCTGGGCTCCTCTCGAAGGGCTGGCTAACCGTCATGCCCAGTGAATGTGAAGATGGCCTGGGATTCTAGAGATAAGCAACGCAGGTTTCTGGTCTCAGTTCTGTCCCTTTGTAAGTTGTGTGATGTGACATTCTTCTACAAGGTTTGTGAGTCTCGGTGCCCTTGTCTCTAAAAGACCTATGAAATTCCCAGCAAACCCATCGGCAAAGCTGTTTTCTTTCCTTTCCAATTATTGTCGTCCACACATCCCCTGGTGACCGTCAACATCCCTTAGCGTCCCCAGCCTTAGCAAATTGATCCTCTTACTGCCGTGGAGTGCATGCAGACTCAGAGCGACCCCGTTTGTGGGAGTAGAAAGCCCAGTCTTTCTCCCGCGGAGCTGCTGATGGTTTTGAACTGCCGACCAGGGCTCCGTGATTAATCCTGGCCCATTCATTTATTCAACCACCCGTTACCGGCATCGTGGGAGAACATGCTCCCAGGGCTTGCCGCTGGAGGGGTGGGTGGGGGACCGAGTGGGTGACCAGAGCAGGGTCACAGAGGACCACAGGGAGTGGTGGGAGGTGAAGCGTTTACGTTGGATCACGCTGACTTTCCTGGAGGCTTCCACAGGACAGTCCATGGCTGCTACAAGGAGCTGGGCTGCTAATTGCAAGATCAGCCGTTCAAAACCACCAGCCTCTGCGTGGGAGAAAGACGAGGCAGCTGTCTTAAAGAGTTACTGTCTCAGAAACTCACAAGGGCAGTTCTACCCTGTCCTGTAGGGTGGCCGAGAGTTGGCATCGATTCGATGGCAGTGGGTCTGGTTTGGGGTTGGTCTGGTGCCTTGTCCGGGCATGGTTATGCTGGCTGGGCACGCCCTTACACACAGAGTCCCCGGGAGGTGTGCAGACGCTGGGGTTCTGGTCCCCCATCCCTCCTGTCTCTCCACAGGGATGAAGAGGGGCTGGAGGGGCTGAAGGAACAGAACTGGGAGCTGCCCCTGCAGGACGGTGAGGCTTTAACCTGGGGTCCCTGTCATGGCCATCAAGCAGAAGGGAGGAAGCCTGGGACCCTGGCTCCCCTGATGAGAAACTCTGCTTTCCAGAACCCCTGTACCAGACATATCGAGCCGCTGTCCTCTCAGAGGAGCTGTGGGGGGGGGGTGAGGGCGGGAGCCCGCTGCCCACAAACCCTGGAGACGCCCCCTCATTGTCACGGCTCCCTGGACCTCGCAACACACTGTGGCAGGAGCTTCCGGCTGTTCGTGACAGCGGCCTACTGGAGACCCTGAGCTCCCAGGAGAGGCGCATGCAAGAGGTGGGTGTCCCCTGGGGGTTGGGACTGGCCAGCCTGTGTGTGAGTGAACAGCTTGGCCTAAGCTGTGGATTGGCCCGGAGCTGGGCTTTCCCCTCCTGCCCTATCTGTCCTTCTGTAGAGCCTGTTTGAAGTGGTGACATCTGAGGCCTCCTACCTGCGCTCTCTGCGGCTGCTGACCGACACCTTTGTGCTTAGCCAGGCACTCCGGGACACGCTCACCCCTCGGGACCACCACACCCTCTTCTCCAATGTGCAGCGAGTCCAGGGCGTCAGCGAGCGGTCAGTGGGGGGTCCCTGTCCCTGTAGGGGACCAGGCCCCAGGGTCTGAGCATTCTCCTGGCTGCTTCCTGGCCCTTCCCTGGAGAACATAGGAGCCTGGCTCTCTGTCCCCTCCACGGCTCCTCGCTCTTTCCCATGCCTCCAGGTTTCTAGGGACATTACTGTCCCGGGTGCGCTCCTCTCCCCACATCAGTGACCTGTGTGACGTGGTGCACACCCACGCCGTGGGCCCTTTCTCAGTGTATGTGGATTATGTCCGGAACCAGCAGTACCAGGAGGAGACCTACAGCCGCCTCCTGTAAGGGCCCCTCAGTGGGCTGACCCGGGGCTGGAAGCTGGGGACCCAGCTCAGGGTCTAGGAGGCTGGTCATAGTGGTGAGCCGCCAGGTCTTACTTCTGCAGGGACACGAACCTACGCTTCTCTGCGGAGCTGCGGCGGCTGCAGAGCCTCCCCAAGTGCGAGCGGCTCCCGCTCCCGTCCTTCCTGCTGCTGCCCTTCCAGCGCATCACCCGGCTGCGCATGCTGCTGCAGGTACTCAGCTGGAGCACTCCCCCAGCAGCTGGAGCACTCCCCCAGGCCGCTTGCTTTACTCAAAACCCAAACTCATCCCCATGGAGTCCGTTGGTCTCCCTGGGAGCAGAACGCCCCATGCCTTTCTCCCGAGGGTGTTTAGGGACATTGTCCTTTCCTCTAGCATCTCACCCCGCCCCCTCCCGCCCTTTGAATCAACTCCCTCCCACCCTGGCCAACTCCACCTGCGTCAGAGTAGAACTGCTGGCCATTGTTTTACAGACAAAGGTTGCCAGTCCTTTCTTCGGAGGCGCCTCTGGGTGGACTTGAGCCTCCACCCTCACTCACACTTGGCAACTGAATCCGTTAACCATGTCTACATGACCCCCAACTCACTGCCATCGAAGTAATTCTGAATCATAGTGATTCTGATTCATTCGAAGTACAGTGAACCCTCGTTTATCACGGTTAATCGGTTCTAGACCCTACTGTGATAAATGAAATTCCGCGAAGTAGGATTCCTTATTTGTAAATCAAATATTTTCGTAGTTAGAGCATAGAGGACATGAAAAAACACCCTTTAGTCACCATTACACTCATATTACCCAATTTATTAAATGAAAAAGGGAAAATACAGTAAAACATTTTGGACATTACAATTATCATTTATTATTTATTATATTATTTATGGCATCAAGCATGTACAGTATGAGCCAATCAGTGGCAGTAATGACAGAGCATGCGCTGTTACGCAAAAACCGCGATAGAGTGAAGCCGCGGAAGTCGAAGCGCGAAGTGGCGAGGGTTCACTGTAATTCTGATTCAGAGTAGAACTGTCCCTGTGGGTCCCAAACGGTAAGGTGACCAGATTTTAACATTGGTAAAGCAGGACACCATTGATAAAACTCATATCCTGGCGAAACAGCCACATGGCAGCCGAAAACCGTATACCCTAGCTTGTCGTGCATTCTTTCAAAAAATTGGGATGTTTTAAAAATGCTGCGGGACGCAGGAAAAATTGTTAAAAAGCGGGACTGTCCCGCCAAAAGTGGGACGTCTGGTCACCTTAGAAACGGTAACTGTTGAAGGGGGTTGAAAGCCTCATCTTTCTCCCACAGAGCAGCTGGTGGTTTTGAACTGCTGACCTTGCAGTTAGCAGTCTATTGGGCAACCACTGTGCCACCAGGACACCTCTCAATGCCAAAGCCCTAAAAACAAAACAAAACAAATTTCCTACCACTGACCCTATAGGACAGGGTAGAACTTCCCTGTGAGTGGTCCTCTTTCTTCTCCCATATCTCTGTTTCAAACTGCTGACGGTCTGGGTTATAGCCCAACACATAACCTACCAGGCCACCAGGGCTCACAGCTTCTACTCAGGAGTCACCGGGTGGCTTTTACCTGGAGTTCCCCGGTGGTCCCAGGGGCAGGAGGGCGAGAGAAGAGAGGGTCAAGTGAGAGGCATGAGGACTAGATGCTGAGACCTTGAGCTAGTCCCGTCCTTTCTCTAGGTCTCAGGGGGACTCGGGGAGGGACCTTCAAGGTCATCTCCAGCTTCTACTGCATGCATTCTCAGGGAGAGTGACATTACTCCCACGGAACAAGATCAAGTGGGAGCTCTCAGGCATTCCAAGGGTCGCCGTGCACAAACAGATTCACAGTTGTGTCTGTGGCATTGGAATCTCATGTTAGGGGGTGGGAAAGAAAAGAATGTCTTTAAAAGATAGATTTAAAAGCAAACCACCAAGCCAGTTGTGGTCAAGCCAACACCCACACTCACGTGATCCCCATGTGTATCAAAGCAGACCTGTGCTCCACAAGGGCTTTTAATGAATAGAGTTTGGGGAAATAGATGATCAGACCTTTTTTCTGAGGCGTCTCTGGGTGGACTAGAACTTCTAACCTTGAGATCAATAGACCATTTCATTGGCAAGCAAGTATCTTAACCAACAGTATCCCCTCTCACTGCCATCGAGTCAATTCTGACTCACAGGGCAGGGTAGAACTGCCCCCTCGGGTTGCTGAGATGGTCACTTTTTAGGGAGTAGAAAGTCTCATCTTTCTCCCTCTCTAGGAATTCCAAAACTTTCCTTATCTCCTTATCAGAGCGAACATGCGCAGGGGAGAAAGGCTAAGAAGCACTTATTTATTGCTGGCTAGAAACCTTGCCCACCTTAAAACCAAGTCCCTTAATGCAATGGGACTCTCGGTGCGAGGAGTCCCCAGCTAGATGATCAGCTTCTCCAAGTTTAATTCGCTTTGTGCAGTTCAGTAGAGCCAACACAATCAAATAGTGATAAGAATCGTAACAGCTACATGTCTATTGAATATTCTAAGTACTATTCTAAGCTATGTACCCATTTGACCTTCCCAATAAATGTGTTTGTTTTTTTAACTTTTGATTGTGAATTGGGTGAAGGCTTATAGAACAAATGAAGGGTTACATCAGTTATATGCAACAATTCATAGGTTCATACACATTCTGGTTCAACTCATCTATTTAACCCCCTCAATGCACCATTCACTTAGCCCACTTCCTCCCTGTCTCCTCTTATCATCTCTCTTTCCTTCTCCCCAGACGTTGTCCTTGAGTAAATGCTGCCCTTTTGATCCCAAATGGTTGATTATTCTAATATGGAAGTGGGTTCAGTTCCAGACCTGAGGGTCAGCTTGGGTCATAGTGTTGAGAGTCGTCTCACCAGGGTTCATCTGACCAGAAAGCCAGTCATTGTTCATGATTTTGAGTTCTGTTCCCATTTTTCTCCTATTCTTTCCAGGACCTTCTAAGGGATCCTCTTTGGAGCAGTTGGTAGTGGTAACAGGGCACCATCTAGTTCTTCTGGTCTCATGGTGATTGATGTTTGCATGGCCCATGAGCCCATTGGCTAACCCACTGTTTCTGTGTGTCTTGACTCTCTTTGTGTGTGTGCATGTGTGTGTCCTTTGGTTTTCATCACTCTTCTCTCCTCTGGATGGCGAGAGGACCAAGAGAGTTGCACCTTAGTTGGCTGTTCAAGGAGTCCTGGTAGCATAGTGGTTATGCGTTGGATTACTATCTGCAAGGTCAGCAGTTCAAAACCTTGAGCTGCTCTGTGGGAGGAAGAAAGACTGGGCGTTCTAGTCCATTAAAGAGTTACAGTCTCAGAAGCTCATAGAGGGAGTTCTACCCTGTCCAATAGGGTCACGATGAGTGGCATCCACTCAGTGGCAGAGACCCCAGTCACTACAAACCAAATTAGGGCGCAGAACCTTGTCTTTGTGGACTCTATGTCTGATCGACATTGGTATCCCCAGAGACGACGGTCCTGGGGAAATTTACCCCATTTTATAGTTGCGAAAAGTGGAAGAAGGGGCAGTTAACGAACTTTCTCCAGGTCATGCAAATAATAATTGATTGCGATGATACTTAAATGTACTCTTTAAAAAAATTAATCACTTAAAAAAATTATTTTATTGGGGGCTCGTACAATTCTCAACACAATCCATCCATCCATCCATCCATCCATGTGTCAAGCACAAAATTTAATCATTTTTATTGGGGGCTCTTACAGATCCTATAATAATCCACAACTCAATTGTATCAAGCACACGTGTACATAGGTTGCCATCAGCATTTCCAAAACATTTTCTTTCTACGAGAGCCCTTGGTTATCAGCTCCTCTCTTTCCCCCTCCCTCCCCCTTAAAAGCCCTCTTAACTACTGTGCTAGGCTGTTTGCACTGATAGTTGTGGTTAATAATGATTAAAATACAACCATTGCTACCCTCTTTTCAGCATTTACTGTATGCTCAGACAAGCTAAGTCTGTATAGAGATTCCGTTGCTGAAAATGCTCACAGCATGCTATGAGGTGGGCCTTACTCCCATTTTACAAGTGAGGAAAACTGAGTCCCAGAGAGGGAACCCAACTTGCTCTGGGTTCTGCGGATAGGGCGTGGATGGATTTCTCTATCAACCCTGGGACTGCCAAATGGAGCATTTCTCCAAGGGAGCAGTGGCCTCTGAGCTGTGGCCTCTGGGAATGAATCCCAGGGCTACCAAGCAGGGGGTCTAATCAGCCTTCCTCCCTGTCCCCAGAATATCCTGAACCAAACAGAGGAGGGCTCCAGCCGCCAGGAGAACGCCCAGAAGGCCCTTGGTGCTGTCAGCAAGGTGGGTCGGAGGGGTGCTGAGGTTGGGCGAGGTGAGGCGGAAGGGGTGGCAGGGAGTAGGGGCTGCCTGCAGAGGTGGGTGACCTGGCTCCCCTTATGCAACGCAGATCATTGAGCGGTGCAGCGCCGAGGTGGGGCGCATGAAGCAGACAGAGGAGCTGATCCGGCTCACCCAAAGGCTGCGCTTCCACAAAGTCAAGGTTGGTTCCGGCCCAGATGCCCCACTCTCCCCAGAGGCCTCAAGGCCACGTCCTACAGAACCTCCTGCTTCCTCGCCCTGCAGGCCCTGCCCTTGGTCTCCTGGTCTAGGCGCCTGGAGCTGCAGGGGGAGCTGACGGAGCTGGGGTGCCGCAGGGGTGGCGTACTCTTCCCCTCGCGCCCCCGCTTCACCCCCCTCTGCCTGCTGCTCTTCAGTGACCTGCTGCTCATCACGCAGCCCAAGAGGTGGCTCCCAGGGGGCGGGGGGCGCCCAGGCGGGGCGGGCGGGCGGGAGGGGTGAGCCCCTAATCTCACTCTGAGCCTCCTCTTTCCTGGACAGTGGGCAGCGGCTGCAGGTGCTGGACTATGCCCATCGCTCCCTGGTCCAGGCCCAGCAGGTTCCAGACCCCTCTGGACCGCCCACATTCAGACTCTCCCTTCTCAGCAACCACCAGGGCCGGCCCACCCACCGGCTCCTCCAAGCTTCATCCCTGTGAGTTGTACCTCCTTCAGGATCCACCGGGGGACCCTCCCTGACCTCTCAGCTGTCACTCGGCTCTTCCCCAGTCTCTCTTCTCTGTGAGGCCGGCTTAGCCCCTGGGTCCAGCTGTGACCCCTCCCTATGTCCTCACCAGATCAGACATGCAGCGCTGGCTGGGAGCCTTCCCTACGCCAGGTCCCCTTCCCTGCTCCCCAGACACCATCTATGAGGACTGTGGTGAGTGTCTGGAAGGGAGGAGGGAAGGTGATGTTAAGGGAGGAGCCTCAAAGAATCCTGACTCTATTGCATTGTCATCCTCACCACCACCCCCACCCCCCAAATCAGAATGTTCCCAGGAACTGGGTTCAGAGCCTTCTACACCTGTCAAGACAGAGGGACGGAGTCTGGGCTCTAGGAGTCCCCCCAAGCCCCTGCACAAGGGTCCTGAAGGTGAGAGATGGATATTTGGTCATTAAATGAATATTTATTAAGCACCAACTGAGGAAGCCCTGGTGGCATGGTGCTTGTGCCTTGGGCTGCTACCTGCAAGGTCAACAGTTCGAAACCACCAGCCGCTCCTTGGGAGAAAGACGAGGCTTTCTAGAGAGTTACAGTCTCGGAACCCCACAGGGGCAGTTCTACTCTGACCTATAGCCTTTTGACCATTGCTCGATGGCAATGGCTTTGGTTTTGTTTCTGGAAGCACCAACTAGGTGCTGATCATCACCGTAGGACATCCCTGTGAGCCAAACACAATGAGTCCTGCCCCGCAGAGGAGGCAAGTGGACTGAATAAGAAAATGACCTAGTGCACGAAGACCCACCTGACTCACAGCCACCCTGGAGGAGTTTCTGAGACTGTCAATTTTTTTTAATTAATCATTTTATTGGGGGGGCTCTTACAAATCTTATAACAGCCCATCATTCAATTGTATTGAGCACACTTGTATATATCTTGCTCTCATCATTTCCAAAACATTTTTTTTCTACTTGAGCACTTGGTATCAGCTCCTCCTTTTCCCCCTCCCTCCCCCACCGTCCCACCCTCATGACTCCTTGATAAATTTCATATTATTGTTACTTTGTATCTTACACCATCCGTTGTCTCCCTTCACCCATAATTCTGTTATTCGTCCTCCTCAGTGGGGTGTGTGTGTGATATATATCCAGCCTTGTGAGCAGTTCCCCCTCTCCCCCCTCCTCCCCTCATGGTATCACAGTCCCATTTCTGAACCTGAGGGGTTAATCTGTCAAGAGCTCTTATCTGTACCAATGTACGTAATCTGGTCTAGCCAGATTTGTAAGGTGGAACTAGATCATGATAGTGGTGGGGAGAAAGCATTCAGGAAGTAGAGGAATGTTGTGTGTTTTGTCAGTGCTATACTGCACCCTGGTTGAGTCGTCCCTTCCTGTGACCCTACTGTGAGCGGATGTCCAATTGTCTACAGATGGGCTTTGGGTCTCCACTCCAAACTTCCTCGTTCACTTCGACATAATTGTTTTGTTTTGGCTCTTTTGATACCTGATACCTCATCCCGTCGACACCTCATGATCACACAGGCTGGTGCGTTTCTTCCATGTGGGCTTTGTTGCTTCCCTGCTAGATGGCCGCTTGTTTAACTTCAAGCCTTTAAGACCCCAGACACTATATCTTTTGATAGCCAGGCACCATCCGCTTTCGCCACATTTGTGAGACTGTAAATCTTTAGGGGACCAGGTGGCCTCACCTTTCTCCTGGTGGCGTGGCTGACCATGGGGTTAGCAGCTAATACCTAAGCCAGCACATGCTTAATGTTCTTTGTACAGTGCATTCAAAGGTGATAGGTGTTATGGGCAAACTCTCCGCCACGGAGTCAATCCGGCCTCCTAGCAACCCTCTAGGACAGGGGCGAACTGCCCCTGTGCGTTTCTGAGACTGTAACTTTTTTTTGGGAGTAGAAACCCTCATCGTTCTGCTCTCTTGGAGCAGCTGGTAGTTTTGAACTGCTGACCATCAGTCCAATGTGCAACCCACTATGCTACGAGGCTCCTTGGGCATGTGGGGCAGAACCCCAGAACAACGCACTGCTTTCGAGTTGATTCTAGGACAGGGTCTCTGAGAGTGTGACCGAGACTGTAACTCTACAGAAGCAGAAAGCCTCATCTTTCCCCAACGGAGTGGCTGGTGGTTTTGAACTGCTGGCCTTGTGGTTAGCAGCCCAAAGTATAACCTGCTATATCACCAGGGCTCCGGTGAGGAATTTCACACCATGGCTATCTGGAGGTAAAGCATCCTAGTCAGAGGCAACGATCGTGCAAAGGTCCTGAGGCCCGGGCTAGTTTGAGGAACAGCAAGGAGGCCCGTGTGGCTGAAGTGATTGAGGAGCGGGCAGAGAGATGCAGAAGAGATCATAGTGATCACCGGAACCAGATCTCATGGATCCTTCTAGGTGGTTGTGGAGGACCCATGACGACCTAGTGGGTTAC